AAGTAAACTGAACACCTTAAGGATCTTTTGTAGCTGTTTTCTCTTCACAAAATCTTATTCACATTATCACTTAGATTTGGCATTCATCAATCTCAGAGGTAACTTGGCACAGGCAAGTGTGTAGGTGTGTGTTCCTCATATTCTAGGAATGGTGTTTGATGTTGCTAATGTTGTGTCATTTCCTGGTGATATTTTTGATATTGTACTGCTTTGTTCATGGTGCTACTGTTGAAGTTTTTTTGATTTTCAACTTGAGTGTAAGTTTAATGTGGCCCATGCTTCTCCTCATTTGCTTACTGTTTTCAATCCCAATGATCTATATATAACCTTTGGGTCTCAGCTTCACCGACGGTATTTGCTGGGCTCTAGATTTTCAATATTGGATCATATACATGTATAGTTTGTCTTTTCAACAGCTCAGGTTGACAGAAAAATCTGAGTATACTTGTTTGAGTCATGATCTCCTTTTAAATGTGCATCAAGTGAGCTGTTTTCTTACATCCTCTGGCCAGTCAGAGCAATGATCTCGCTTTGTAGAATTGTCTTACAGATTTTTCCATTCAACCACTCTGCAAACAGTTTCATGTCAACTTTGACAGGTATAGATCAGATTGACAATAAGACCTGCTATTATCTCCTGGCATTCTGTGAGGGTTCTCTCAACATGTCTTTCTATAAATCCGTGTCACTTTGGTTAACATGGTGATGAGGTCATAATGTTGAACCTGTATTGTTCAGTGAATTCCTTAATTTCTCTAGAGGTGAATTGGGTGCCATTGTCACATATTATTCTTTGCGGATTCTCTTGCTTGATGAAAATATTTATACTGCTGAGGTGATTGTTGTAGCTCTCAATTCTTTCATCTATCCGAAAAGGAAGCTTCAACTAATAGTGTGCAACTGCATGATGTCATTCTTAATTATATGAAGAAATCAGTTCCCACAGTATGTCATATCTGGATGATACTATCATCTGCTATGTATTTCTGTACTTCTGGCATACATTGTATATCAACATTATTCTTTCGTTGTCTTGTTTCCAATCCAGTTTGCAACTAGTCTGGCTGTGAGCTTACACTTCTTCATTCCCACAAAGCTTTATCTAGCTTCTGGAAAAAATTTTCCTGCATTATTTTTAGTATGATTATTCTGGATCTGGTGAGTGGAACAACATTACTCGTGAGATGCCATTGTTGATAGACCAATACTGTGCATTGTTGTCTGTGTCTGATGTATTCTAACAGGTTTTCCCTGGACCACTTACAAAGAGGTTTTTTGATGGCCTCATCCCTCAGTTTCGTCAGTTTTGTTCATGTCATGATTATTAGGTGATAGGTCTTTATACTTAGATCATTTATCTTATCATTTCCTCAGATAAACTGCAGCTCTTTGCAACTGCTCAAACCCAGGATAGCAGGGTCATCTGTTTCAGTGACATAAAACAATAAGTTAACATTCTTTCCTTCGTGTGTATCTTTCTGATTTGGGTTCTTTCTAGATGTTGAATCTCCAATCCCCTGTATGCATTACATACTCAATTTTGGAGCACCTTTCCTTGGATAACCATTTTCCTTCAAATTTTCAGGGAAGTTCTTCTGGTAAAATATAATCAGTGTGATGTTGCTCTGTGTTCTAGTATCAAATTTCTGCTTCAGCTTTGCGGCTGTGCACTTATTTTTCACCCTCTTGTTGGTTTGAATGGCTGCATGAATTTCTTTTCTCTGGAAACTATTGCATCCAGACATTTCACACAATTATATGGTTCTTATTTCTTATTATGTTCTCAAAGCTATTGTCATCTTCCAAGGTATGGGTGTATTGGTTTCAGTCTATTCATGGCTTCATGTACTCTGGTAGCGTCTGTAGTCAGCATTATTTTGACCCTGGTCTTTCTAATTAAATCACTTTATGCTTCATGGTAGGTAGAACCCTAAATTAGCTGATTTGGCACCTTACGTCAGTGTCTTTGAATGAACTTTCAGGCTGTACTTTTCAGTCTTGTTAGGAAATTGTCAATAGGTTCACCTGATTCTGCTTCAAATCAGTAGATCCCATGATTTGACTTTGGCTGGAGAAATGTACTGATGTTTTCAAAAATGTTGTTTGAGTTCCTGCTTTCATCTTCATTCAGCTCTCAGTTATTAAACGAATGAAACCCTTTCTCTCTTATCCATTTGGGGATTTATCTGACCTTTCCTTCTACGCCACTGTCTTTTAGAAAGCTACTGAATGTCAGTCCATACTTTTATTTAAACTTCTCAAAGGTGTCTACCACACCTGCCTCCCAAATCATCATGAGATGGAGCTGCGTTTTTAGTAATGTGTCTGCCATGTCATTTTCACACATTTCACTCAGTTTCTCCCTGACACTCTATGGGGTTGATGGTTTTCCATCTGATTCAGCATTACATTCTTTTACAATGTTTGACTTTTTACGCACAGACCTGCCACTGCTACCATGGCTCCCAGAATTCAACATAACACTTTAAGGAACAAGATGCTCGAACTTAACTTCTTACATGATGTTCTTAACCTGTTTATTTCAATTCTCCGTATGATTGGTGGACTGATGGACTGATACATTGTTATTGGGCATATGAGTGAATTGCAAATATGGCACCCCAGGATGTTTTAATATAACAGTTCGGAGCTTTTGACTAAGAACAATGTCTATTTGTGGGGAAGGGGGGGAGGTAAATGATGCTTTTTAGCTCGATTAATTAAACTTGCTGTGTTACGTTCTCAAGGAAATAATATTTCTACCAGTTTGCAAAGTACCCACCAACCGGTGATAATAAGGTGTGGAGCTGGATGAACACAGCAGACCAGGCGACATGAGAGGAGCAGGAAAGCTGACGTTTCAGGTCTGGACCCTTCTTCAGAAAATCAGAAATTCTTCATTTTCTGAAGGGTCCAGACCCGAAACGTCAGCTTTCCTGCTTCTCTGATGCTGTCTGGCCTGCTGTGTTCATGCGGCTCTACACCTTGCTATCTCAGACTCCAGCATCGGCAGTTCCTACTATCACCAGCCAGTGACCCTACTGCCATGTGCTTCATGCTCGGGGTGAAAGCCCACAGCCAGCTTTTGCTTCCTGACCCGAGGACGTATTGGTGGCAATAGCAGGCTTCCGCCCACTTAGTTCAAGTGGTCGCCATCTATTCAAACAGTACGGAATTTCAATAAAATACAGTTAGTGTTACTGATATCGAAAAGGAGAACGGCTTCATTTTTGTCCCCCATGTGGCAGTAACTCGGTATCTTCTCTGTTAATCTCCCGCTGAACTGTTGCTACAAAATCTTCCCATTTGGCCATTGAGTCCGCGGGTCTGCGGCTGGGAAACATTCTGTGACAGATATTAAAACTGCTGTTCGTTTTTACTAGCAGTGAGATGTTTAAAGTTACTTTAATGAAATGTCACAAAATCTAATAACCTGGCTTGGAACCGACTGTGCAAAATTATACTGCCAAATTAAAACAAGAAAATCCATTTTTTTCAGGATACTGGGTTAGTGCAACTAGAACAGACGCATTTCATTAGTGTTAGAATACATTTTTTTTCCATTGTCTTCCAGCTCTGTCTTCTCGTTCTCCTGGAAAGATGCAATTCAAATAACCCAAAACATTTTCTGTCATGTTTGGAGTATTCTCAGCTGCGAGGATGAAAAGACTTCTCCATAAGTAAATTAATAATGTAAAATTATGAAGTACTAATAACGGTTTACTTTTCAATAAGATAAAATCTTCTCTAAAAGTAAATTAGGTCTATGGCTGCTTTATCCTCATTCTATTCACTTTATTGTGATGAACAGAGTTGGCATTATTGATTGCTGATCAGCATAGACCAGGTTTGCAAAGCGACAGAAGTCTGTGGTTATGTGATATTTCATGCACCGTGGAACTAGCAGGGCAAAACAATCACGAATGGCTGCCCTGCAATTAGCCCAAATTTCTTGCTTTTGCACGTGGGTATAAACCAACCTTTACCTTTTATAACCAAATAAAATGAGTAATCGCATGTTACATATAGATGTATTTATCTATTCGAACATGCATTTTCAAGCTGAACCCTTGTGTTTAATTCTCTTATCATCCCTATGCACAAATGCATACACTTTAACTATATTTGACATGTTTCTGACAGTGTTTCTGTTATGTTTCTGTCTTTCACTCAACGTTCTGTCTTGACGTCTAATTATTGCTGACACTATTTTTCTGCTTTTCACGTATTGTTGTTCGGTGTCTCGTTCTCTTCCTGTATCTCTTTTTCTCACACATACACATCTTTTTGCCCCTGTTTATCCCATTGTCACACGTACTTTATTCCTTGTTGTCTTGAATCTTGCATCCTCATCCCAATCACTCTTAGTCATCTCTTCTCGCCTTGCGTTACTGTTCTTAATCAATATTAATTATTATACGACAAAATAACGATAACCTTTAACGTAAAAGGGATTCAAATACCTCTGTTGAAATCTATCCCAGCATAGTGTGATGACAATTCACACCTAATGCAATTTCGGGAATTGGGCTGATCACTTTGCATTTGGTTGAGATGGATCGCAATTTATTTTTGGCTAACATTTTTGGGGTGTTTGAACTGCTATGTATGAGAAGAAATTACTTAAATGACTGTCTTACATAAATGTGCTGATGTAAAGAATGTAGTTGCATAACTACATCTTTTCAAATCGAGTCATGTCGAAGTGACAATTGTTTTGCCATTCAATTTGGTACTATTTATTATCTCCTCACACAAAGAATTGTTTCTCATAATTTCGTGCAATGGATAAATCTGTCCTGTTTTAGTTGTCAGGAGTTTGGAGAGCTGCGTATGGATTTCACAGCAACTGGATACGTAGTTCCTCATGATTTGTGCTTTGCTGGCTGTTTACACAGCACTGATAGCATGCTAGTTTCGTTTAGATTTAAGTTTAGTTTATTGTGCGGGGGGGGGTGCGCGCAGGGGCAATCACGTGACGGTGACAGGTCCTGCCTATTGAGAGCAGACCACCCACCTCGAGGATCGCGCTGCTTAATAGAAACAGGCATGTAATTGTGAGACCTTCCAGCACACAGCAGAATGACTGCAACCTAGCAGGATTATTACACTCCCTGTTCCTTTAAAATCACTTCTTAAAACCTGTGAAAGATAACATCGTGTAGCTCCCGAAATTAAAACGCAAAGCAAGACTAGTCCGGTCACACAGGAGCGCCTCGAGGAAGATGGTGAGTGAAATTACCTTTGATGAAAAAAGAGACTGCAATGCTCTTGGGGTGAACTCTTGGCAGATAGCACGGACTTGTGTTACTGATATAGTTAATTCAGCACTGCTGCTGGATCTAATAGTGGCATTATTATTGTTGGGTGGCATAACAGCATTGATATGTATCTGAGGTGCTTTTCTCATTGTATTCCGAATACTCTTGTTAGGCTTGGTTAGTTTCTGAACAGGCGGGGTAGTTGTTGGAAACGCTGACAGAGTTAGGGGTCCTTAGGATCCCTGTAACCTATTTTCACGGTCTGAGGGGTCGCCCCAGCTTCCGTTCAGTGCAATTCCATTAGAGACCCACCTCTGAGACAAAAAAAGAAATCTCTGATTACTGCTATCTCCTAGTATGAAAGAAAGACATTTAGATTTTCTCCAACTGTACTTTAAGTGATGAAGTGTGCCTAAGACTGCTGTTTCATTAACTCATTTCCGATTTATACAATGCCCAAGAATATTGTACCAGTTTTCTTTGCTTTACGTCAAGCACATTTAACATTTATATGGTATTTAAAATCAAAATCAAACCGAGTTAGTCCGTCTATAAAAGTGATATAAACATGGGGGGATAAACTGAAGTGTATCTTCACTGATGAAAAACATTCATAAAAGAATATCTGATCAAAGGCGACAATGCAAAGTGAAACCAGATCATTATATCTAAAGCGTGACCCTTTACAAAAAATTCTTCAACCACAATTGCAGTCTGTAAAGAAATGTCTTAATCTTTCTCATTTTCACCTAAATAGTTTCCCCCATAGACATCAGCAGCATTCCCCCCCCCTTTATTTTTGCCCGTAATGGTCCTATTGAGTGATGTAGGCGTGAGGTGTAAACCGGATTAGCAGAGTCAAAGGGTGAGCACAATGAGGCGGAATTGTTTTACTTCCTTTCATTTCTTACGCCTATATATCTAATAAATTTGTTGCTACAGCGGTAGGTCAAAGGATCGTGTCGCCAATCGTGTTCGACAAGACGTGATGCTAGGTTGTCAAATGAATGGCCTTTGAAATGATTAAATTTACTTAAAAGCAAAATTTGTGCGTATGTTTGTCAGTGTACGTATGCCAATGTGCTGTATCACTAATTCGGTGTCCATGCTCTGGGCAGCATGCGATCCACTTCTCTTTCAGCTCGATCAGGGGTAATTAGTTGTATTATTTTGACAGATTTTGTGAGCAGTGCTTTTCACCCCATCGTGTGTGGGAAAAGCGTGTGTGTGTGTGTGTGTGTGTGTGTGGGGCGGGGTACAGGACTGGGTGCTAGTGGTGGGAGTTTGATTGAAACGAGTTACAAGAAAAGCTACTGTGCACTGTGTTTGAAGATTACAGCTCAATGGTGGACAATATCTACTTCAGATGAAAATCCCTGTCAACTAAAAACAGTTCAAAGAAAAAAACCTGCAAATATTTTTCACAATCTGATCAATCTTTATTAATCAGATCTGACAAAAACAACTGCATTGAAAATATGTTGCACTCTCAGATGAGTTAAGGTGATCCGTAACGTTCATCATTCTGTGTTTCAGGAATAAAACCAATGTATGAGAAACTGAAATGGAAATAAATTGTATCCGTTTGAGATTGTTTTAATTTAAAACTGGTAGTTAAATGAGAAGGCCCAAAGAATCACTTGGCGCGAGTTTGGAGACGATGTGGAAAATTGGAATTTTTATTGGAATTGAAAATAGGATGAATGATCCATGTCAATCATTGAGTGTTTTATAGTAGGCTTACGGTTTTTTATTCCGTTGGCGCCAGAGTTGCTTAGAAATGGGTGGCGTCTTTAAATCCTAGATTTAAAATGTTGGACTTGGAAGAGCCTGATGGGAGATGCGCTGCCTAAATGTGCCACAATGCATACCTGCTGACATTGTCTGTTTAGAAGGAGCTATTAACGGAAATCCTTCAAAATCAATAGAATGATGACAACACGAATAGAGGAACGGAAAGCCGTGCCATATATAAAGATGGCTAAATAGACTGTAAAGGAAACGGCTGAAATAACTGATATTTCACAATCTTCACCATTTTACCTAAATATACATAATTGAATAGGTTATTAAAACTTGTAGCTCAGATACATTGAAGAGTTTAAAAAGATGTATCCTTATTGAAAATTTAATTAGCAAAATGCTCAAAGAAGGATTGTCCAACAATTCAGTAATTAGACTTTATATATCTCTCCCTTCTAACCATAATGGTAAATTAAAAATAACAGTGAAGTTAAAAGTCCAGATAACGTAAAATATAGGTACCCTATTAATGCTTGAATGGGTGTTTGATTACATATACAGAAATCGTGTTAATAAAGGCCATTACTGAAAGGAAGGGTCAAACGCAGGAAAGTCACACTAACTTGCTAGCCGTATTCTGCAAAACCCAATTGACAATAAAATTGATTAAATCCATTTGGAAAAAAACGATTCTGACCATTATGAGGAGACCTTTAGTGATTTGTTGAAGTTAACCCAACCGGGGCGTCGAGCGTCGTTTGCATGAGCAAGACATGCATATTAAAGACAACAATGCTTCCAAATGTAAATAAGGCTGGATTGATTACGAACAACATTATCGCTTCGGAATGGAACACTCGCATGCATTAGCAATGAGGCGAATTGAGGGCATCCATAGCTGACCACCCAAGTTGAGATTGTGCTCACACTTTTTCTCCAGCCATACAGAAGCAAGGCAATTATATGCCAAAGATACTCCATCCAATACATTTGCATTTAAAGCAATTCACCACGAAACACCGGATTACAATGTATAGTCCTTTTTAAAAATTTTTAATCTTTCAGCTAGAACAACAATTTCTGATAAATTTGAGAAAGAACTGTAATTGCGCCTGAAACCATTTGTCAAAACGTGCCCTTGATCACATAGGTCCATTAAGTTTTACCAGAAACCAACGGTTCTACATATCACAGATATGTACACTAGTAAGTTTGTAAATAGGTGCGTGAAAATAAGTTTCTTCTCAGCAACTGTTAACAACCTCATGGGTCAGACTTTACGTTCTGATAATTTTGTAATGTTAAAATGGCAAATGCATGTCTCGTTTAGGTCAATAATGTTATTTCAGGTTCAATCAATATGAATTTTCTAGTTAACCTTATTAAGCTTTAAATAGATAGAAGCTTAATGATACAGATCACCAAATATGATATTCTTTCCTTCACAGTTCCGATATAAGAAGATATATTTTGCACATGGATTAAAATTCGCAGGAAAAAAGACATCCAGTTAAAAGGATCGTGTTCCTTTAAATTTTCGTGGTACTATTAAATGTGGAAAAGTATCAATTAAGATGTGTTGATATTTACTCTGATTAATTTGAAACTGAATATTACTTTTCATTCTTCATTTTTTGGGACGACATTTAAAAATGTTACTCTAAACAGGATAATAAGACCCTAACGTACACAACATAGTAGAATATAATGTGTACATATCTAGAAAATCTAGAAACCATTTTGAACAGAAACAGCTATATGAAAGAAAATGTTAATTCGGAGCTTAGTCTGTATTTCGACCAACTAATCAACCTTCAGTGTAACAAGGTGTAGAGCTGGATGAACACAGCAGGCCAAGCAGCATCATAGGAGCAGGAAGGCTGACGTTTCGGGCCTAGACCCTTCATCAGAAA